TGTTAATTTTATTTTTTATTTAAAAATATTAGTTTTGTATTTTTTATTTAAAAATATTAACTTTGCATTTGTTGCAAAGCATGATTATTTAATTAGTTCTTAAATAAATAAATAAAATAAAGTTAGCATGCTTAAATAAAAAATAAAAAATTTATATCTTTAAATAAAAAATTAGAAAATTAACATCTTTATCTAAGTATTTTCTCATTTAGTTTAAGATAAATAGAGAGAAGGAAATGAAAATATGTTGTATTCTTTCATTTTCTTTCATTTTTCTCCTCTCCCTCTTCCCTCAATTTTTTTTTAATCCAAATAAATGAATTTTCTCCCTCTTCTTTCTTCTCCTCCCCAAACCAAACATAGCTTTACCTATCTCCCATATGATTTAGTTGTCACTTTAAACACTAGTCTCATATATATATATATATACACACACACACATCTAAAGATAGTATAGTACAGATCATTTTCTTAAAATTTTTTTTGGAGGATCTATCTAAAAACTTACATTCTAATTAATACTTTTAAAAATTGACCGTCAGATTGAAAGTTCTATTCATGTAGATCATACTTGTCAATTTTCATATTAATCTAACACTTATAATCTTGTAACTCAAAAAACTCTACTTAATGATATATATTTAATTGTGTTAAATTTCTTATAATCAATAAAATTGTTAAGGCTACTAGAACAATTTGAAAATTAGTATGCATGATTTATATGAATAGAAGATGAGTTTTGAGACATATCCTCTAAAAGAAATTTAAGAGGATGACGTGTTAAACACTTTATATATATATATATACACACACACATGTATAGGGGTAGGTAAAACCCATTTGACACAAAACACTTAAATGTAAGTTTTATACAAAATCATAACCATTTATTTTGCACTATGAATGGTAAAGATTTACTATGATTTTTTGGGTCAAAATGATAATTAACTTTTAATAAAAAAGATGAATAATTAAGATTTTATACAAGTGATATATATAAAAGTTAATTATGTATATATTACACGTATCGTTTGTACAAAAACTTAATTATTCATTTTTTCATCATGAATAGTTGAAATCTCTCCGCTTTTCATCCTATTTTTTAAAAGTTAATTATCATTTTACTTAAGAAGTTAGGATAAATCTTATCATGTTAAATAAATAATTATGATTTTATGTAAAACTTGTATGTAAATATTGTGTTAAGTCTTCCCGAGCAATGTTGAACTCTGAATTTTTGGTTATTTTCAAGGAGATAGATTGCTTAGTTGATCAATTAAAAGTGGATAAAACTTCAGCAGACTTTGAGTGAGAAGAATAATATGCCAGATTCTGTCATTGCAGTTCAAGTTTTCGATCCATTGTCTAAGTGACAAGAGATTCTGTTAGCTTGGTAGGGTCTTTTTATCTTGGTTCTTTATGTGAGAACGAAGTTATGTAACCGAAAAGGTCTTAACTAGCATCATTTGTGTTCTTGCTTTGTTGATTAGTGTTTTCCCTCGTGCTGTCTTCTCTACTTTGTCAGACATTACCTGAAAACCTGCACTACTAGAGCTACATACAGATGCAGGTATCCGACAGGATACTCAATGCCTGCTACGGACCAGGATTATTAGTGTTATGTAGTCTTTCTATCACCTCGAAATTTCCTTTAAGATGTAGGAGGGGAACCTCCTTCCAAGCTATTATGAAATTTAAGAATAAAAGCAAAGGGGTAAGTTTTCGAACGAAAGTTTTTCAGTCTAGCGTAATTGAGTAAAATTAACAACACTTGAATTTAGGTACTTTTTAACTCATGATCTCTCATTTCCAAATTAGAACAGCATGCATGTCTCTGGTACTATTTGGTAACCAGCCTAGCTCTTGCATGGCCTTGAGATATCTGGAACTGCTCAGTGAGGCCAAAATGAGCCATAAGAATCCACACATGAGTCAGCAGTTCCCCGCCTTGTCCCAGCTGCCGAGCATGATCATTCCCCCTGCAATGACAAGCGGCATAAGCTAGCAGCTCCAACCACATATCTTTCAGTAGATTCCATTTAAGATAAGAATCAGATATAGCATTCAGCGTTGATGCCAGCCTGCAAGCATCGAACAACACGGATTTGCTTCTATCGCCTTTGACTTTCATGGGTGGAACATCTGTTCTCACTTCAAGCAACATCATGCAAGCCTCTTTTCTTCTTTGTTCAACTTCTACAATGCTGGAACTGCGACATGAACTGATCATAGGCAGGAACGGAGACAAGAAATTAGATTAGGATGCAAACTTTAAAGTCACAAAATATTATGTTATATTACACCAATAGAAGAAATGATTAAAAACGTTTCTTTCTTGCTAAAACTGCTTCATATATATATATATATATATATATATATATATGTAAGTATCATCTAAAATGCATTATATAAACCACCAATCAAAAGAAAATTAATCATGGTGACTATACATTTTCCATGAAGAGAACAGAGATCCCACAACACTAAATTCCCTATTCAAGTGAATGGGTGTTAACATTTCTACACAGAGCAAAAAATTAACGCCGTGAAAGACTATTGTTCGTACTTAATTTCTAAACTTAACAGAAGGACTAGTTGGGTTATTGCCAGAAACCTTGAGGACAGAGTGTGAAGCAAAATGAAGGTTAGGATTGAAAATTATCTCATGTTAAAAAGATTGAGGACCTACAAAAGGAGTTTACCATATTTTCCTCGAAAGTTTAAGGAGGGCAGGTACAGTGCCTTCACCCCTGCTGGTAGGCCTTTGCTCCTCGAAAAATTCCATGGCCTCAGCACGAGTGTCTCGAAACCTGATAAACCCAATCCCTGCAGGCAACATGAAGGGAGAAATGACTAAGAGATACAACATGTATCTTGACATGTGCAGGCTGAATTCTCTACATTTTTTGGCTTCATCAGAAAGGTTTGCTATCTCATCCTTTGAGTAGTAGCAGATTTCTGTAGCCATGTGCCAGATAAGGATGCTTTGGTCAAATTCAACACTTATACTCCATTCAAGGATACTCCATTCAATCTTAACCTCACTTTTCTGCTTCTGGTATTTCTCAAGTATGCCTTTACCCCTTTGGCTGCAGAACTCCTTAATAGCTGTTTCAAGTGTGCTCGTGCTTCTTACCTCTGGTTGTGCTCTTTGTTTCTCGAACTCCTCAAACTTTTCTTCGACATGTTTAAAGATCAGCTGTCTATAGTCTTTATTGAAGTCTTCGAATTCTTTGTAACGTAATTCTTCAATTATCCTAATGCTACATTTTTCCTTGAGGCTGAGCCATAGTAGACTGTATTGTGCCATGGAATTTGACCACCTCTCCACCTTAAACCACTTGAACCATTCTTTAAAAGAGCTGATTAATGATTCTGCAATCCTAGTCTTCCTATGCTTAATCAACCAAGTTCTGGTTTCATCTGAGACAAGGACTACGAGAGCTGCATATATCTCTAGGCAGATAGCCCCAACAAGCAAAAGTCTAGTGACCACATAATCAGTCGTTTTCCTTTTTTGCCTCAGTTTGTCATCGAGGATAAAAGACAGAAAAGCATAGCAGGTGAAGGAGAAAGTGATGAAGCGTCGAGCAAAACCGTAGGGAGTATAAATGACTGGTGCCTTTGTATACAGCAGATCATACATGAATCCTAGTTCAGTCTCGATCACTTTGAAAGCATTTTCATCAGACATTTTCTTGAACAAAGCTTGGCTTCTCTCTCGATCATGAAAACTAAGGATTAGATCTGCAAACAAATTCTTGAATGTCTGAAATAAGGCATGAGCTTGGACCATATAATGTTCATTTTCAGTTGTTGTTTTAGGCACAGTTACATCCAAGTTACCCTGACCCTCCTTCATTTCTATTATTTCCACAGAGAACCCCTCCTCATCTCTCAAGCTATATTCTTCCATAAACTTTGAATAGTTTGGGCCAGGATCTGGATCAGTGATGATAGTATTTTGGAGTTTGTTCCTACTTGCTTTCCAAAGGCTCAATGTTCTCTCTCCATACTTGATGCTGCCTACCACTATCACTACAATGGATAGATGAGAAATATGAGAACTTGTCCATGCAACCAAGAAGATGTAAAGCGCAGTAATTGTCTGGACTATTAGTCCGGAAAGGTGCCTAAGGAACAACTCATTATCTTCTAAGGAGTAGGCAGTGATTGTATCAGGACCACCTAAATGCAGCAGGAAAAAAGGTGCCCAGAATGCTTTGAGCTCAGTACCCACATTAATATAAGCTTTAGTACCCACATTCATATGACCTCTATCATCATATATCAAAGCATCAGTACCCATATTAATGTGATCTTTTTCATCATATATCTCCCCGAGGTCATTTGATAGTATACCGAGGGCCATGGTCACCACAGAGTCAGCCATCATATAGGCACACCAAACAATAACTCTAAACAAAGTTCCACGAATGTACTTCCTGCGGTTGCCCGTCATAATGAGAACTATTTGGAGTGTAAGGCTGAGCACAGCTGCCCCTACGAGCTCCCATTCCTTCCAAAATTTTCTAACTGAAGGAGGAACCACCTCTAGCATCATTCTCTTCTTCATCAAAATCAGGCCAGAAAAGACTAAATAAACATTAAAAAAAAAAAGACTTTGTTATAAAATTCTTCAAATACAATTGATTTTCTGCAGGGAAGAAGAAAAACATGGAAAATGAAAACTAAAAACTAAATTGAAGCAACTAATTCATTAAAAGATAGGGTACTTACTTATAGGGATCATCTGGAATGTTTTGTTCTTGGCAGTGGCAGATGCAATTAGTGCCTGTGGGAAATGGCAGCTGGTACCCTTCTACCTCGCAATGCCTGTTAAAGAATTGCGTATGTACGAACTGTAGGAAATAGGCATATTTTGTAATTTTGTTTTATATTAAGGGCTTTTATGTAACTCTACATTTTATATGACCTTATATATATTTGCTGCTAAGGGTGCGCAGCTCTGTAATTTTGGTTTTGCACCCTCCACTTCCGCCTCACTTTACACGAACATGCAAAATAGCCGTCCTTATATATTTTTCAGGAGTTAGAGAGTAATTTGCGTTATGCTCGTGTATAAAACCATTATTATTGCAATGATATGAATATGTATCCACTATAAATAGACTCATAACAAGTAACTGGCTGAGGATGCCGCAAGTGATGACAGCTACCTTTAAAAGGCAGCCGGTACTCTTCTACCTGGTAACAATTATATATGTATGAACATGCAAAATCAACAACCCTTATATATTTTTCAAAAGTTGTGGCTGATTTGTACTATTCTCGTTATATTTTTAAAGTATTTTTCTATTTAATTTTTTGTAAGTACAGTCCATAAACTTTTGTCCCTATTTTCTTATTAGCTAGTGTAAATTAGCCTCTGAAAACCTTAATTATATAATAGGAGTGTGGGACCTACATGTTAATAAATGTATATATTAATTGTTGTCTTAAAAAAATTATATATTTACCTACATTACACTTTAAAAAATAAAAGATAAAAGACAGCTTTTGTGATACAACAATAATTAAAGTAAAAATAAAAAGTGTTAAAATAGAAAAAAATATTTTTCAAACATATATACAACGTGAAAATATTGCCATTAGTTTGTGTGAAGGAGTAATAGCAAATGTAATTTATAGATAATATGCTATATTATGTCTGAACTTGGTTATAATTAGTTTGTGGTATTTTTTTTATCTATCTTAAAAAATGTATATTCTCTCCTCTCAAAACTAGTTGTACCACTGTATCTATTCTTTGATTACGTACCAAGAAATTTATTTATTATAATAATTATGATTTATCTTTTTATTTTTAGTCTTTTTTATAAATTAAGTGAAAAAATATTAACGCATTTTTATCTCTTTTAAGATAAAAGTAAAATTAAAATATTAAAATTTAATATGGAATTAAAATAAATGCTTACAATGTCACAAATTAATAGACTCTTAAATAAAAAAACTAATTATATAATGACATATTATTTTTTATTAACTATTTAACAACATATTATATTATAAATATATTATTATGTGACATTATAATTATAATATTTTCATAATAAATTAATAACTCTATGGGTGCCAAAAAAAAAAAACTGAAATAGTTATTATTAAACAACTACTACAATTCAAGGAAGGATAAGACAATCGATTGTCTTGATGCAGCTAGTAATGATATCAACATACGAAAGTCTACTCTATGCGATATTTTTATTAGTTTAATATTCTAATAATAGATTAAAGAATGAGAAATATTTAATAAAGAGATACGTGAGAAACAACCATAAAATATTGAAAGATAAAAAAAATTTATAATATTATATTAGATAATAATTAATATACATTTTAATTTAATACACTTTATAATATATTTATTAAAATTATTATTTTAAATTTTAAATTAAAAACAATAAAACTTAAAATTATAAATTTTAATAATTAAATTAATAGATATTAGCAGATATATTGATTGAAAAATGTAACAATTATTTTTCTGTTGTACTAAAAATGATTAAATACCATTACAACATCCTTATTTGCATTAATTCTAAATTTTAAGAGATAATTGGTTTGTAGTAAAATAAAAGTTAAAAATAATAAAATGTACTCATATTGTCCTAATTTTTAGAAGCTCTTGTAATAAAAAAATTATCTTTATTTTACAACATTAAAAAGATTGAATTTGTAGGATTAATTTTTTTTTTTCATATTTACCATTCAAACTTTCTTTGATGAATTATTGCATTTAAAATAAAAAATTATCAAAAAAATATTTTAATATATATTTTAGCTAATTATTAATACAAACATTTATAATTAATAGTAGAAACTTATACAAATTCAATACAGGCAGAGTGCAGTTAAGGCATAAAATTCTGGGTTCAAAACTTAGGCACTACTCCCTGACTCCAAAAATTCCCTAAGTTCAAAAAAATATATATACATACATACGGAGTGCAAAAAGCGCAATTTAGTAGTTGGCAAAGTAAATAAAACATTAATTAAAATCAATTGAATTATAACAAAAGGTCACTGTGCTGCGGATGTTCCTGTGTTGTATGCATAACAGTTTCAAAATATCAAAACATGCTAAAAATATACAATTGATTACA